ATATATATATATATACACACACACATACACCTGTATGTCTATTTTAAAATTTAGATGTATGAATATATATATACATATACATATAAATATATATATATATATATATATATATATATATATATATATATATATATATATATATATATATACATATATATATATATATATATATATATATATATATATATATATATATATATATATATATATATGTAAATATGTAAATATGTATATATGAATATAAATATATATATATATATATATATATATATATATATATATATATATATATATATCTTATATATAGTATATATATATATATATATATATATATATATATATATATATATATATATATATATATATATATATATATATATATGCATATATATATATATATATATACACGAATGGATATACACGTACATATAGTATTGCATGTGTATATATATTCTTAAAAGTAAAAAATACATCCTCTTCACACTGATTTACATGTGGCCTTGCAAAGCAACATTCTCAGCTGCTTAGAAAAATAAGCATGTGCATTAAAGCTTTTTCCCGCTAATTCCTCAAAGGAAATTGTAGGAATCAGCGACTAAAATGGCGTAAATCACTAAATAAAACTCACGCTTCAAGTTGAAATATAGAAAAATTGTCTCCTGAGAAGTTGGTGCAACATTATTTTAACCTTTTTGCATACACCGAAGCAGCTCCTTGAATTTTAGTAATTGCTGGTGTGTATTTAATGTTTATAAAGCATTGTATTTCTGTGCAAATAAGTGCTAGTTTTAAATCGCTCTGATGAACAGTTTATGACTTACATGTCTTCACAAGCCTCGTAGGTCAAAGTTCGAGCATTTTTTTAGCATCGTTTAGGTTCATGAACATTGCAATAAATGGTTCCCAGACTTTTCCAGGCTGGCGCGTCCTTGGCCTACAGGTGGATTCCTTGCGCATCCTCCCCCCCACCCCACCCCTCGCCCCTTCAGACACACATGCGAATACCTCTTTCGTTTCGTTTTGCTTCAAATTGAAAAACAACAAATCTCAAATAAAGCCTAATTCATTAAACCAATCTATTTTACAGTTCTGTTTGTTCCACCCCCCTTACCACCCCCTACCGCCCCCCCCACCCCCCTCAGATCTTTCCGCTCGCTTTGGAAACCAATGATCTGCATGAATCCCATAGCAAAGGAGTCAGTAATCAAGCGCATTTCACCGAGCCGTTTCCCCCGCCTGAGATTCGTAGCAGAACCAGAGCCGCCACTTCCCTCTCAATTAGCTTCCCTCTCCCGCCGCCCAGGTCGTGGCCTTTGACCTCCCGCCCAACATTATCTATCACCGACGCCCCGACGGCTCCCTCTACATCTACGGCCTAGAGGTGGAGCTCGTGAGAGCGCTGGCGCAGGCCTTCAACTTCACCATCAGCTTCAAGGAGCCTCCTCCAGGTAAGGCCGAGTGTCGGGCGCCGGTAGTGTGTGTGTGTGTGTGTGTGTGTGTGTGTGTGTGTGTGTGTGTGTGTGTGTGTGTGTGTGTGTGTGTGTGTGTGTGTGTGTGTATGTGTGTGTGTGTGTGTGTGTACACACCACAAACACACACACACATACACACATATAAAGATATATTGTATATAAATATAAATATATATATATATATATATATATATATATATATATATATATATATATATATATATATATATATATATGTAGTGTGTAATGTTTATCTCTATATTTACACGTCTCAGGGGAGATGTGGGGCGCGAAGCTGAGCAACGGGTCGTGGAGCGGCCTGGTGGGCATGCTGGGCAGCGGCGAGGGCGACCTGGGCATCGCCAACAAGTACATCACGTCGCTGTACGGGCGGCTAGAGTTCGAACACTACAGCGCCCCCTATGAAGCTGACGTTCGTTGCGGCCAGATTGTCTTTTCGCGATAAAGTGACAACGATGACGATAATCGTAATAGTAGTAATCAATGATGATAATACATATATGACCGACGTAGTAGCAGTAGCAACCACAGTTCAGTAAAAAGGCAGCCAAGCACCAAAGAGCAAAGCGCGAAGCCAGCGAAGCCGCATCTGAGTTGAAGCCTGGGTCTTTCCCTTCCGACAGAGGAGCTGCTACCTCGCGCGGATGGAGCCGCCCCTTCCGCTGTGGCAGAGCCTCGGCCTCCCCTTCCAGCTGGCCACGTGGCTGGCTATCCTGGCCGGGCTGGTGCTCTCGGGGCCTGTCCTGTTCTCCCTGGCGCGGGCGGCGGTCGGAGCAAGGTGAGAGGGCGGGAGGGAGGATCTGGCCGCCCTCTTTTTATTTATGTATTTATTTATCTATCATTATTATTTTCCTGTATGTTTTTTGTGTTTCTTGTAATTCGCATGCGTACGTCATTCATAATTGTACAATCATTGAAACTAAGAGCTAACTAAGTAGCCTTGAGCGAAGCTAAGAGCACCATTCGAAATGCCTCAAACGTCCCTCCTTCAGCGGACGCGACCCCCTAGGCGAGCGCTCGATCACCTTCGCCTGCGTGTACATCCTGGGCATCCACTTCCGGGTTCCCCAGACACTCCTGCCGAACCACGCCAGCATCCAGGTCCTCGTTGTGTCCCTGTGGATGTACAGCATCATCCTCACTACCGGTTACAGTAGCAACCTCACGGCCTTCCTCACCGTGAAGAGGCAGCCCCCCAGCATCGAGACCATCAAGGAGCTGCGAGAGTCCAGGCTCAATGTCTTCGGCGTCGGCCCCTTCTTCGGGAACTCGATGGCGCAGTCGGAGAACCCCCACCTCAGGGTGAGCGTCCCTCGGTGCTATATACTTCCAGCTTCTTTCTATTTTCGTTTGTATGCTTTCTCCCTCTTCTTTGTCTTTTTTCCTTTTCTTTTCCTCTCTTTCTTACTGGATCTCCAGTGATTAGATTCTGGAGCAATGTCCGTTTTACACAATGGCACAGCAGTAAAGACAATAAAAGCAGTAAAGTAAATTGTTACATCTGATATAGACGTTTCAGTTTATCATGTTGCACCAAATTAGAAGTTTCTAATTTAGGTTTCATCCATCAAAAACTATTTAAAGATCAGCCTCTCCCTTCCTTCCCGAGGCCCTGGCGGAGAGGTTCGTGTCCATGTCCTCCTTCAGCGACATCGCCGAGCAGGTCCT